AATGTTGAGCCACTGTGTGTTTGGTTAAAATGATCCCATCTCTTTCACTTGGACCAGATGTTTGACGTCTCCTCCTCCTCAGCTCAGTGTCTCCTCATTTATTCTGTGAATACTTAGCGACGAGCCTTCTGACCCTTCAGGAGCAGAACCATTCATCTCCTCAGGAACCCAGACTCTAATCCCTGACTTTACACAGCCTCTATTATTAATGAGCTGCACATCAACACGCAGCGCCTGTTTCACCGTACAGCCCAATCAGATGGTTCTCCTGCAAGTGCTCGTTCTGTGTCTGAAATATTACACTTACTACTACACACTGAGAAATTCTGCAGGTTGTTGGAGATCACCAAAGTCCAACAGGCCCAAAGGTTAGAGAAGCGAGCTTGTGACCTGAAGGTAGCCGGTTCAGTCCCCGCCGCGGCAGGACCGAGTCAAATCAACTCCTCCCTCTTCATCACACGCTTTTCTGAACCGATGAGGTTATTTCAAAGGATCAACATCTGAATGTAGTTATTTGTTACGTTCTAACCACCTACTGGACCATGTGGCAGTAGATGTGTTTGTCACTGTGCTGCTGTGTGTGGTCATCTGTCTAATGGGCAGCAGGTTGTCGCTCACTGACTGTCTTCTGTTATCAGAGACCAGCTGACTGAGCTTCACTTGAACTCTGAAACACAGTGAAATGAATGCGAACCACTGCTGCGTCCTGATGGGGGGGGGGTCACGTGCTCTCACCTGCATGCATTTACCCAGGTGTGTCTTCTCACCCTGTCCCCCGTCTGCAGGTGAACTTTGTGGTGTGTCAGCTCTGTGCTCTGCTGTCAGCCTTCTGGTTTCGTCTCTTCCTCCATCCCAGTAAAACCAGTCCTTTCATCAGACATGTAGTGGCGACAGTGCTGGGGCTCTACTTTGCTCTGTTCTGCTTTGGCTGGTAAGAAAGACGCTACTGGTGAGTTTCTAACATTGATACAGGATTTCTGATCAGCATTGTAAACATAGAGGATTTTAAAAAAATCTGACAACCATGTGTTGGCAAATATTCATTTAAGATTTTTAATTGGTTTTTGATAAGGATCCTTACATTTGGCTCCTAAGGGACAAAGTCCAGACCTGCAGACAGTGAAACATTTTACAGTGTAAACCCTCACTAGAGACCAAAGGCTGATTAATCCGCTGCTGAAAATAGTCCCTCACTAAATGCTACAGCCAGCAGCTGTTTACTGTCTACTAAGCCTAGCTAGACCCCAAGGCTCTACATCTGACAGCAGGTGGTGCTGTAACACTTTTCCTGTTACCTCAGGATGAAACTGTATTTAAAATGTAAATCTTCAGGAGGAACCAGGGGGCTCAGAGCTGAGAGCCACACCCAGAGTAGGGAAGTCACGGTCAGGGCTGGGAAACGGACGGAGATGGAGAAATAAAGTAACCCCAGCCAGATCCCCACTGATGAATACATCACATCTGTTTCACTCTAAAGCAGGTTAGTCTTGGTGTCTGGAGCTGAATGCTGGGTTTTCTGTGTTCCAGGTACGCTCTTCACTTCCTGTTTCAGAGCGGACTCACCTATGGCATCATGATTCTGACTGGAGTCGAGCACATGCACAAGTGAGCTTCAGAAAGTCCTCACATCATCTGTAATAACAAGATCACACTACTCACTCCTCATGAAAGTGTGTCTGACGTTGTGGTGTTTGGAGGCATCAGGTCCCAAGCTCAGCTAGATCTGCTGTGCAGACATTAACACTCACACAGGAAGCTGCAGCAGCCATTAATCAGTCCACAGATAAAGCGAAACCTCAGTCAGATCCATTAAAGTCGCAATAGACGCAGAGAGTTATACTAATGAAGATGGGAGCTTTTTATTACCTTAATGTGCAGAAGGAAGCCGGGTGTCCTCTGGACGACTAGAGCTGGACAGAAAACAAGCTAACCTACAATTTCATATTGGCACCCACTGACATCCATAATCTGTGGATCCAACTTAGACTGCTGGACAGTTTGACATGCTTTAAATGCACACAGAGGTACAACATGTTTCTATACAGAAGCTCAGAACAGTGGACGTCGTACTAGCATAAAAACTGCAGACGACATCCAGCCCTGGACAAACTAAATGGAAATAGCTGTTTGGCACATGGCCCATTTAAACACAGCTTTGTTTGGAAATGAGATTCCCTGATCCCATTCCTACTCTCCAGAGGATGAACCCTTCACATTATAACAGCTCCATGATCTTTTCTCTAGCTTTTCTTTCCCTCAGGACAAACTTCACATGTTTAGCTCCACTAGTGCTGCTGAACTGTGAGGGGTGAAGTGAACAAGCTGTTTCCTGTGATGTGTCCAGGTACTGTCTGCTGGTGGCGCTCAGCTATCTGAGTCTGTGTCAGATCACTCGAGTCTACGTCTTCGACTACGGCATGTACTCTGCTGACTTCACTGGGTGAGATTAGCACATCCCTCCTCAGCCACACTGCTGTATCTAAAGTATGCTCACACCTTTAAAAAAAGGTACACAGTTAGTCAACTCTAATCTTGACTTACTATCTTTAACTCCCACTTCTCTCCTCCTCTGTCCAGACCCATGATGGTGATAACCCAAAAAATCACCAGCCTGGCGTTTGAAATCCATGATGGTGAGCACATGACTGCATGAAGCCCATTAGCATCACTGGGACTGGGGAGATTCATGGAGATTTGCTGCTCAAACCCACAGTTTAAGCTCAGTTTCTGCTTTTCTTGGACAGGAATGGCACGAAAGGAGGAACATCTGACTCCAGGACAGAAGATTCTGGCCATAAGGTTTGTTGCACTGTAACCAGCAAGAGTTTACACTTTTATCCCTGAAGACTGACTCGGAAAGGTACAATGACATCCATCTGCACATTAGGACCAATTTTCCAAATGTACCAAATCCAAATTTTCATTTTATGGTTGTTAAAAATCTCTCCACAAAAAGGCATAGAAATATACATTATGTAGTAGCTGAAGTTACCGGTCACACAACACAATGATCTTGTTGAAAGAGATTTACAACCTGTCTTCATTTAATGGCCGGTTTAAAACCTGTTAAAAGGGTCTCCAGTCCACCTAAGCTGCATGGCTTTGGACTGTGGGAGGACGCTGGAGCACCCAGAGAAAACCCACGCAGGCACAGGGAGAACATGCAGTCCGCGCTCAGACTTCTTCTGTGAGATGACAGCGCTAACCACTGCACCGCCATGCCACCAGGCTAATGATATTTTATCTAATCATTTCTTACAACATGGAATTCCTACCACATTAGTCATTATCCTGTTTTGTTTAATAATTATATTTTGGAGGGTTGAGGATCACATTCAGTTGTTTGCTGACATTCAGGGCCTTTTACAAAAATACTAGAGCCCTGATATGATACAACACGACTCCACATTGGTCCAGCAGTAACCCACTGTGTGTGTGTGTGTGTGTGTGTGTGTGTGTGTGTAGGAGGATGCCCAGCCTCCTGGAGTACTTCAGTTACAACTGTAACTTCATGGGGATCCTGGCTGGACCCACCTGCTCCTACAATGACTACATCGCCTTCATCGAGGGAGACCCTCTCCGCCACAGAAACCAGGAGGTCGACAGGAAGTCCAGCAGCCAGATGAAGCAGAGCGAGCCCTCGCCAAACGTAGGTCACATGACCACAGCTGCTGACATAACCCTAATCAAAGTTTAATTTGATGACCTCAGATCACTGGAGGTTTTATGTTACTAAGTGTGTGATACAACAGTTTGTTGCCTAAATTCACCCTATAAATTAATTTATTCATTAGTTGTGAGAGGATCAAACCGGCATCAAAACTGTGTGTTTGTTCAGATGGAGGTCGTCCGTAAAGTCGCCACCTCCTTCTTCTGCCTCCTGGTCTTTCTGTCGGTGTGTAAAGTTTTCCCCGTGGAACGAAACATCGACGATGACTTTATTGCCAGCACGCCATTCTACGCCCAGGTGGTCTACCTCTACCTGTCCATGCTGACCACCAGACCAAAGTACTACTTTGTCTGGACGCTCGGTGGGTGACTGGAATGTGGACCCACAGTTTTTCATTCTTTGTTGTCTCTCTCTGTCTTATTGTTTCTTCAGGCGTTCCTCTTGTTGTGCAGACAGCAGTTGTGTTTATTAATGACACTTTAATGACCTGTCTCACCTGTCTGTGTGCTCTAACCCCAGCTGACGCCATCAATAACGCCGCCGTCAACGGCTACGACAGTGAAGGCTCTCCTCGCTGGGACCTCATCTCTAACCTGAGGATCCTCAACATCGAGGTCGGGACCTTTGTTTTTTTTCGAGAACTGTCCTGAAATGAGTTTATTTTTGTGTAAATGATGACTTTTGTGTTTCAGCCCTGCACTCACTCCAATTGTTCTGCTTTGTTCCAGTTTGCCACCAGCTTCAAAGTTTTCCTGGACAACTGGAACATTCAGACAGTACACTGGCTCAAACGGTCCGACCACTTCTTTTCTGTTGTCATTGTCTCACCAACAGTTTTTTCTACAGTGAGATCAGTGTAAAATGTGAAGGTCTCATGTTGCATCACATAGATAATAACATTATGTGTCATGTTTGTGCAGCTCTTCTCTGAAAGCAATGAAACATTCACCTTTTTGTATCTGCACAATTCCTTCAGATGGAAATGTTCAATACAATCCGCTGCATCATTTCACACACATTTCCACAAAATTCAATCTGACAGATTTGGAATCTTTGGAAACTTTCAGATTTCCATTAGAAGTTAGTTGTAAGCTGCTGAATATGTAATACCTAAAGCTTTTACTGTACGTCTATCTGTTTGACCTGTGACCTCTCATTGACAGGGTGTGTTACGAACGATGTCCCTACCACCCGACAGCAGCCACCTTCATCCTGTCAGCCATGTGGCATGGAGCATATCCAGGCTACTATCTCACCTTCCTCACTGGCATCGTCGTCACACTGGCTGCTAGAGCGGTGAGCTGTCCCTGTTAGCTGGTAGCTTCTGAGCTCACCAGCTAACTGTCAGAAATACAAGCCCAGTATCTGTTATCTGTCAGCTAATGAAACTTTCAACATGTTACTACAAACATTTTAAATTATAGCTGCTGACACGCTCACAGTGATGTCGGGGTCTACAGTCACAGTTTGGCTCACACTTTGTTAAACGATACTGTTTGCAGCTGCCTGAGTAAACGTTTTGTCCTCTCAGGTGAGACACAATGTTCGGCCATACTTCCTGCAGTCACCCTCCCACAAACTGGTTTATGACGTCATCACGTGGGCAGCCACTCAGATCGCCATCTGCTACACTGTGGTGCCGTTTGTCCTGCTCTCCATCGGTCCATCGATTAAGTTTTACAGGTCAGTAAGTCGGGTTTAGCTCAGGTTCAGGCCTTACCTTTGTTTTGTTTTAGCTGCCTTGTTATTCAATCGGTTGTGTTCATGTATGTACCCAGGATTCCCTGAAAAGCAGTGTTGGTACTGAGTGGATTATCTTGGTGAAATAAACAGAAGTCACAGATTTAACTGATAGATTTCTCATCAACAGTCAAATGCTTATTATGAGAGTTCCAATAAATCTGACTTTGAGGTGAATAATCTTGTCAAAATTGCAAACAAGCATGGCCACCTCACATCAGTTTAAGCTTAGCTAAACTGTAATTCAATGCAGCGTTGATTATTTTTACCCAACCATCACTAGTGATCCACCCTTCAGTCATCTGGACCCCTTTGTGGCACAAACCCACCTGAAACCTCACCACCTTCCTCCTCTGCAGGTCCTGGTACTTCAGCCTCCATATTGGCTGTGTTTTGCTGGCTGTGGTGCTGCCGGTCAAACCGAGACATCTCCGCCTCAAAGAGCAGCAGAAAAACCTCCTCCAGGAGCCCGTCCGGCGCCACCTGGAGGCTACTGACAGCAGCTGCAGCCAGAAGGAAAAAACCACATGAGACAAAGAACAACTGTGGGCAACATTATATTTCCATTTGCTTGTATAGAAAGACAAGGAGGTGAACCATATTGAACAGACCTTTCTCCCACAAGATGGCGGATATGAAAGCAGGCCCTGCATTTTGAAGGCCTGTGTGGTGCTTGACGGCAGCCAGTATGGCTTTTGGACTCCATAAACCAACAGAAGTGGATGTTTTTTGGGGTCAGGTGGCAGGTTCAGACCAGTCTGCAAAGATGGAGGTTATAAATATAAATACATATACATACTCTAACTGTGTATGGAGCAATACAAACTGCTCTGAACTGTCACCTGTGTAGTGTTAAACCAACTCACTTTTCTTTTTGATCAGAAACCTGAGAGTACCTGGAGGGATGAATAAGGAAACAGATGACAGTTGTGTGAATAAAGAGTCAGGTGAATCAGTGAATAAGCAGGACAGCGAATTAGCGCATTAAACAAGCAAAGAATGATCAAAGAAGCAGAAGAAAATGATCTTTTCTCTGCCACATTCCTCTGATTTCCCAGACTGGAATCTCATCATGTTATAATCTATTAAACCATAACATCAGTGTTCATACAAATGAGTTCTGGGGAAAGTGCCAATGATTAATCCACTCACTCGCCTTAGTTTTTTTTGTTTTATACAAAATTTTAAAAAAGCTCTTTACTCTTTCTTGATGAAGAGGGCATCATGTTTACATTTGTAGATGTCATCTTTTCTTAAGTAATTTATGTAATCTGTACCACTTTCTGAGAAGACACCAATTAGAAAGGAATCAGCAATTAATTCATTAATGGTTAATTAATAATTTACAATGGCTTTATGGAGCAACAAAGGTTGGGTAGCCAGATTGTGGAAAATCTCCAATAGACTATTTGCCCTTGTATGTTCTAGAAAAGAGGAGCAGGACATCTGGACCAAAATCCATTAGAAACTGTTTATTAACATTTACAGCTGCAGGTTTGAAGGACTATGGAACAATGTCGTATTAATGATTTACTAAACTTTTAATGGCAGGTAATTATCTTTTACTAATGGCTCAGTAGAAACTGATAAAACGAGTGTTTTATTAATGTGAAACTAACATTCTAACTACAGACCTGATGACTTAGTTAAGAAGTGTGAAACCCTGAGTGCTGATTAATGGTTTACCAACATTTATAGCTGTTCCCGAACAGAAACAGTTATTTCCAAAACATTTGAACAGGACATATTGATGCAACGCAAAGGAAACTTCTTCACTTTAAAGTGTCATAAAAACAACTCTGACTAGCAACATTTGGTTTTGCACATAGCTCATTAGCTAGTCAGCTAAACTCATATGCATTTATAAATGATTACAACATAATAAGTCTGCACTAGTAAAAGGATTTTGGTCCAGATGTCCTGCAGCTGTTTTCAGAAGGAAAGTGGACAAACAGTCTATTGGTAAAAAGACAAGCAAAACTAACAATTCTAACAGCTTAAAACTTATTTATTAATCAATAATAAATGATTACTAATTAATAAACCTAAACTCGATACTCCCTTTATAAATGTTGCCTTATCAGAAAGTGATAGCTTGTGTTTCAAAACAGTAAGATGTACAAAGATGTGGTGTAAGATGTACAAAGACTGAAGAATGAAAAAAAGCTTCACAAAATTTTAAGAAATTAGCTTAAACTCAAATTCCATAAGCTGAACTGAAATGCTGGGAAAAATATCTCTCCAATATGAACCCAACATTTTCACGTTTGTTTAATGAGGGGGATCAATAGTTTGGTTTAGCTAATAATTAACTTTAGAAGCTACAAATGTTGGTACTGCTTAGCTAACAATTTCCAATAACAGCTAAAATAATTTGGTTTGTGTTAGTGAAGTTAGCAGCTAAGAGTGGTTCAGGTCAAATCAAATCTAAATGTAAGAGTTATGTAGTTCAGCTAAGGGTTGTTTTTGAATTCACAGGTTAGCTGATGGTTTCAGTTAGTATCAAGATAAGTTTGGTTGAATAGTCAGCGCCTCTGTGTAGCTGCCAAGACTGGCTCACGTTAGCGAAAGGCTCACTGTAGGAGCTTAAAACGAAAAGTTTAGGTTAGCTAATGGTTTATTTTATAAACTAAAACTGTTTTGTTTAGGTTAGCTAATGGTTCAATTTAACTAAAAATGTTTTGGGTTAGCTAACAACTCAGTTTAGAAGGTAGCTAATGATTACAACAACAGCTGACAGGACATGTAGAACCAGGTTGGTTCAGTTTGGCTGGTTAATAAATGGTTGGTTTTATCATGTTATTTTCAAATTAGTAAGATGTTTTGGATTCATATGTGGAAAAAAAATTGTTCCTACTCCAGTAATATTTTAAAACTGCCACATTAGTATCCCTGTGTACACTCAGTAAATGTGTTACTGTCTTTTCCTATAACTTTCCATGATTCTCTGTGCCCGTGTTTTCTTGATAACCTTGGTGTTTCCCATAAAGTTAAGAGTAATTAGTTAGGAGAGGGGAAAAAAGATAATACTATTTGAATTTAGCATTATTTTTAAATCAGAAGAGCACATTTCTATATTTCCTGTATGTTTTTCCTGGTTCCACATTTGTATTTTTGGTGTAGTTTATTTCATAAAATTTAATGAGACTTGATTGAGGATTGCTGATAAATATAAAGGCTATGTTAACTGTTTGAGGTGATACCCAACATGTTCTCACACCCAGCCAGCCATCTGTAGGTTTGATATGGACTTGTTTTGTTTTTGTAAATTATGCGATTAAACTTTGGACTTTTTGAGACCTGACATGGTGAGTTTGTTAATCCGTGGTTGTTGGTAACCTCTGATGCTACAACAGAATGAAAGGTTTGCTTGCTACCATTCCCCTGTAGTGCAGGGCTGGGACATAGCTTTGTACTTGGTGAGCTGAAAATAGCTCACAGTGGAGCAAGAGGACCCGACCTACTGCATACTCTCACTCGCACTTTAAACCCTAATAAACTGATAGTGGGCCATGCTTAGTACCTCCTCTGACACTCCCCTGGACTGTTAATTACTCCAGATGATTAGATGATTCTATAGTGTTTCCAGAACTTGTAGTTATAGAATGTTTGGTTACTTTTCTCTGATGAACCACCAGCATTTCTGGTATGACACAGAACCATATAATTAGTCCAGCTGAGACAGGACAAACTAATAAACATGTGAAACAAAAAAAAATCCTAATGATTTTCTCCTGTATTGCTGAGTAGCTTTTGACAAGTCTGCAACACTTAGATATTGATGACAATGAGTGTCTTCTTTCTAGTGTCCACAGTTTATTAGGCATTATTCAGAAATGAAATGTTTCCTCCCACATATACAGTACACAGTACAGTGAACACCTGACTTGACTGTTGCTGATATCAGCAAAAACACTTTTTGATTTCATGGAACTTTATGGAGCCTACAACATCTTATTTTGGGAGGATGAGGCAAACTGCTTTATTTTCAGTTGAAACAACATCATGATAGTGTGTTTTAGTGAACTAAAACTAAACAAAAAAAAACTGCAACCCTATTCAGGATGAGCAGTATAGATAATGGGTGGATGTGTAAAGGTTGTATTAATGCTGAGGGAGGGAGTATCATCAAACCAATCAAACAACTACAAAGAAATCCAAAGAGACCCCAAACCGGTATAAAGAGACTCAAAACCACTACAGAGTGATGCAGAATAACCCAAAATGGCAATATTGCAGCAGAGACACAAAACCACCACAAAGAACCCAAACAACCCCAAAAGACTCAAGATTACCACAAAAATGATATAAAACAACCATAAAGAGTAACAAAACCACCACATCCAAGAGTTGCAAATGGCACCTACTGTACTGTATTGATATTAGAGTATTTACAATGATTTATTTGGCGTTCATTTATTACTAGGTAGTAGTTTAAATGTCAGTTTTAACATTTTATGTGTTCCCCAGTTAAAATGCTCTAAGCTCGCCACTAGTTGGGTTGTTTTATTGTTTAAAGTGAGAAAGGAAATGGGTACAATTTATGCTTTTATTGTGAGAGCAGTGAACGGAAATGGCGGACTCATTTTGGCGGGCTTGACACCGCAGAGGGTTCTGTCGCTGTGTCGGTGCTCAGTTGTTTTTCCAGACCAAAATGGCTGCTGTTGTCGGGGATGGGAAATGAGACTGGGCTGTCATCCGATCACAGGCCGACGAGACGCACTCAAACCCGAGCTACTGGCGCTGAGACCCGACTCGACCGAACCCGGCTCCCTTAAACCGAATCTGATTCTCTTCTGACGGTAAATCCAGAAAGCTTCCTTTCAGCATCCTTTCCTGTCATCGATTAATATTTGATTGACACTTGTCACGTTCGCCGAGGCGATCAGGGAAAAGCTGTTCCTGGGATCAATTATTTTCTGTGAATTTATGCGCAATAAAAGGCAAAATTGTATTTTCTTTAATTTCTTTTTTTTGTATCGTTTCCTGCGTGGTTGCTGAATGACTGCGTGAATTAGTGTATCCTGTGTGACAGCGTGAATATTATGCAGGGTACTGCAGTATTATAACAGCGGCACAAATAAAGTCAGAATACAATAAGAACATCAGACTATTGTTACGTTAACGTATTAATTGGTGTTAATAGCAAACAGGGCGTTGCCACATGATGCCAGGCTGATGATAAAGTCCGTAAATGAATCTTATAAAGATGAAAGTCGTTGGCACACAGAGATGAACCTGTAATGAAAATGTTTGTATGTCAGCTGTTACAACACGGTGGAGGTGCGTTTTTCTACCTTACTACTGCACACACACATCATCAGGTCATTGTAAACTGGAAACCTACTACTGGGTACAGAATTAAACTGGTTCCTCCAGAAAGCTGAGCTGAGCGCTGATTGGCTGCTGGTGTCTACAGAAACACGTCACAGTAAAATGTGACCCCAGCCTAAAAGTGATGAGGAGGTGTCTGCGCACGGATCTCAGGGCACGTCTTCATATCTGCAGCGACTTTAAAGGAGGCTGCCGCTGGTTGGAGATCAGGACTTAAGCATCACGTACAGAGAGACAGGCCCCAACCTGAGTTTAGTACCTCACTGCCATCATCAGGTTGTTGACCTGACAGGGTCCTGTGAGTTAAAGCCCCTGAAGTTCTCCTCTTATGTTGCTAAACTCTGATTGGTGGCCAGAAATATGTGACATCACTATGGCTGGTTTAACTTCGGAGGGGTTTGTGGCAACATGTTAATTCATTATTTAATCAATGTGAAGTTAATTGGTAACAATTTTTAATTGATTTAAGTTGCTTTTAATGTAGAAATGCCAAATAATTCTCTGGCATCTGCCACAGTCAGTTACACAGTTACACAGACAGACACACTACAGGGTCTACATCACATAGCAGAGGTGTAACTGTGTGTCCTGTTCTGACAGTAGGGCGTAGTGACAGACTGCAGACATGGACACCACCACATCCATCAAGATGACCACTCTGGCCATCCAGAACCTGTTCAGCTATGTGGAGGAGGAGAACCTGGCTGCTCTCAAAGCTCACCTGGACCGCTTCAAGGAGGTGGACGGACGCAGCGACGTATGTTTATCTGATCGACACAGCCTGGTTTTTAGTTATTTACTTACAGAACATCTCTAACATTTGTAACACTCCTCTAATAACCAGAGGACTGTGCTTGATACTGAGCAGCAGTGTTCATGTTTAGAGACCGTCCTCAGTTCAGAAGTCCAATTGAGTTTGAACCATTTTAATCAACTCCCTCCTTCTTGCAGGCAGGCAGCTAAAGCTCTGAACACTCTGCTGTGGCGTTGATAAAAGACTTGGCATATTAGTCTTTATCTTATTTCTTTTTTGGGTAGAATAACTGAATACAAGTATTTAGAATATTTTAAATAATTATTCCTCTTATGTTCTTTTTATTCCCTTTGTCTATTTTCTTGTCTCATTTAATGTGTTCATTTTTGTTTACTTTTTATTTTCTACATTTCATGTTTCTGCTCTACATTTTTTTACATTCTACATTTGCTGTTTGAGGATATATACTTTTTTTTCTACGTCACATTGAGTACAAATTATATTCATATATTTCTACTTTTACATTAGTCAATTTATTTCAAAAATCATTCTTTAATGTAATTTTTATTACCCTTGATTATATTCTACATGATTTGCAAGATTTGTATTTATTTTTATCTATCAACTTTCATTTTAAAAAATATTTAGCCTTTTCTCAGAATTTGTGATTATTTTTTACTTTATTACTTTTATATTGTTTTCTTCTTGCTGGATTTTGTTACCTGCTGCTGTTGGTGTAACTTTTGTGCATGTGGAACTGTGGCTGTGTACAGAATGGTCAGACTCCTCTGATGCTGGCAGCTGAGCAGGGCAGCCTGGAGATTGTGCAGGAGCTCATCAGGAGAGGAGCCAACGTCAACCTGGACGACGTGGTGAGTGAAACAAACACACACTGACAGTGATTAGTGAATGCACTATGTCCGACTCTGTGCCAATGTAGATATTTTCATTTCATGGGATAATAAATGCACCTATCTGTTCTCCTGTCTGAACATCCTCACTTGGATGCTGTGGTTGCTAGGAAACGGGCAACAGTAGGGCTCTTGGTGGTGGCAGTGCACTTGTTGCCATGGTAACAGTTTCTCTCTCTGTGTTGTCAGGACTGCTGGTCAGCTCTGATCTCTGCAGCTAAAGAAGGCCATGTAGAGGTGGTGAAGGAGCTGCTGGAGAACAGCGCCTACATTGAGCACAGAGACATGGTGAGAGCTGATCCTGTTAACTGACAGTGTGCCTAAAGACTCATGGGACATGGAGTATTATCATGATTAACCGTCACCTCGGTAAACAGTACTTTTAAAGCACAGTGAGCACAGGATTCTCTGTGCTCACTGTGGAGCTCTTATTAACTACTTGTAATGAAAATAAACATAAAAGTATGAATTACAGAATAACATTTATTTTACATACTCAGTAGTTGAGAACCCTTTCATGCATTTGTTTGTCAAAGGCTGCAGCCGGTGATTTTCTCTGTCTGTGTTGCTGTGCACAAATCCCGTCCAGATACCAGCAGCACCAGTGAATGTGTTGTGTCCTCACTGTAATGTGTGTGAGTCCAGAGCCTTGTCCAGCTTATTGCTCTGTGCCGTAGCCCTCCACTGTTGTCCACCAACTATTAAACCCCCCCAGTGAGCCACACCGCTGCACTTGGGGGACAGGTTTCCTCCTCAGGAAACAATCAACTCCACAGGCGTCACTGTTTATTAGGTCTGAAGACAGAGTCACTGGTCCAATAGCTTCTCATGCTGGCCATACAAAGAGCTGCTTTCTGCGTTAGCATTATCATGTGGTAGCAGTGAAAACAGGATAATTT